ATTTCCTTTTTAATATTATTCTAGGTTTTAGTATAAATAGGATTTTTGTTTCATTCTTGTATTTCTAAGACTTTTATCATGAAATATTGAAATTTTCTCTCTAAAGCTTGGCTTCAAAATTACCTTTGTTCATTCATGGGTTTTATCGAACTTATCAAGATTTAATAAATCTTGTGGCGTTCAAAACCATCAGGTATGATTCTCAAATATTGTAATTAAGAGGTCATTCGTTTAATAGACCTTTGGTTGCTTAATTCATTATTTTGGAATTCAAATCCAAAATTTCGGAAGATATTCGTAAGCCTTGTGATCAAGAGGTCATCCGTTTAATATACGTTCGGTTGCTTGGTTCATTGTTCGCGAGTTAATTCCTAAATCTTGATTATTTGGGCGTTCTTGGGATCCGTTGTCAATTCCTATGAGTTTGCTAGTGATCGTGCTAACCGAGTTTGCATCACGTTCGGACTCCGGCCAGACAACAACGAGACTATTGTAAAATATGAACCAATCGAACAATGTAAAGATGATAGAAATTTGTGATAATTATGTATAAATCGTTCAAGTGAGTAGAAGTATATTGTTTATAGGGAATAAAGTTAATATTTTAGTATTTGAAGTGGCATTACCATGGGCAAATCCAGGGCCCAATGTCAGCTAGGGCGGACCGTTGATCGTAGGCCGGACTACGGACTGTTGACCATTGAAATTCTCAAATTTCTCACAAAATCAAATTTCATAAATTTCATAATTCTATCCTTCTTCAACAAATTTTAAGAAAAAACACATATAGGTACTCATTTTACATATTTTAACACTAATTTGAAAGTACAATAATTCTAAACTTTTAAATTGAGCAAATATTAAGAAACAATATTAAAGTATAATGGCAAATATTTTCACAATGTCCAGTGAATTAAATCTCCATATTTCACAGTGACTGTAAGAAAATTCTCCTCCCTTCTTGACACATCGTGTGTATGTAAATCATTATATAACTCCATTATGTACAAATAACATTATTCTTAGTTTTTAGCTAATCGAACATTTATGGCTCTTCCTTTTGGACTTGTATTTCTCAAGATCAAATTTTGATTAGATTAATTTAAGTCATAAAGAAGTTGGATTCACATATAAAACATCGATTTAGCCCCCATTTGGCCCCCTTTAAAACTCTTCAATTTAGATGGTGTTTGAGCCACATTATTCCAAAAAAATAATTTCTTAAACAATGATTTGACATCATTTTAACTACACATTCTTCAATAAAATAATATTACACACGGGTCAAAAAAAATTTCTTATTTTTTAACCACATATTTTCCATCAATACACTATTCAAGAATACATTATTACCAAAATAATGTGGCTTAAACACCCCCTTAATTTTATTTTATCTCTCTCTTACTTTCAACCACACAATTTTTAATAAAATAATATTACACTCAAATCGAAAACTTTTCAACCACATAATCTTCAAAAAAACATTATTCCCCCATTATAAATTCAAATAATGGGGCTTAGTTTTGATCAAACCTTTACCTTTATCGAATCAAAAGTAGCTGAACACTCTTTCAACATAGACGGACAATATATCTTCTCAATGGGCCCCACTACCCTAATTATCCGCCATAGGATATATCAGATTTCATCTCTGCCATACGATCATAAATCGAGAATAAAGTTTTGTCTTTTTCTTTTCTCAAAGATTGTAATCGTCTCTCTCTATAAATCAAGAAAAGCCACTCTCTCTCTCTCTCTCTCAGAGCAACTTACGACACTGTCATACACATTTCTTTATGTATCTATCATCTTCTCAAATCTCAATAATTGAACACATACACACACAAAATACAATTATTTCCTGAACCCATCATTACTAAGAGAGGAAAATTAACCACAAAAGAATTATGGGCTGAATTTGATACAATTTCTAAGTTCTGGGGCTTCAGTTTCTCTAATGGCAAGGATCTGCTGCCCATCACCAAGCCCAAGAAAATAAAAAATGGTGAGTTTTCTCTCTGTGAGTTTTGTGTATGTATACATGCCTATTCATTTTATGTATATACAGCAGTAACAGCACCCAGAAATACTTGGAGATTGCAACTCCAATTCGTCCCGACGACTATTGAAGACTCTGGGGATCCAGCTAGGACGGCCACCCTAGGTCGCCACTACCTGGATCCGCTACTGAGCATTACCCTATTCTAATACAAGGTGGGACTATTTATAGTTTTACAAATCAAATGGTGGCTTCGGATCAGAACACACGTGGCCTCATCTCCTCAACTGACACATCTACTCGCAGCTATCACTTTGACTAGTGCATTAAATGTTCTTGCAATTTGTAACCACCCTATTGATAAGACAAAACACTAATATTCATTACAAAAGTCAAATCAATCATTTCAAAAGATATCGTACATAAATGTAGAATATTCTTATTCAAGCCGTCAATTTGCCAATGCCACATAGCCTCAGAACAAGGCCTCATCACTTCGGCCACTCCTCTATGTTAGGCCTCTTGTCTTCGTTGTTGTTTCTTTCCAAGTGGCAAAACATTGAGGGCCTCAGAAAACACCCTAGGGCCTTGTCACCTACACAGGAAGCCTTGACAGGGTGGGTCCATAGGTACAGTGGGTCAACCATTTGAAGCCACGTGCAGCGAGGCGTAACACTAGGGATTTTTTTTAAATTCCATATTAACAAATCCTAATTCATTATTCAATTTCTTTTAGAGTATGAATAATTATGTTAAGAATAATTCTTATTTATTGTTTTAAATACTATGAAGGTTTCAACCTTTATTTATTGTTGAATTTATCTCCTCAACTTTTTTTGTTCACCACATGCTTATCCTTGTTTTTCAATTAAAATAACAAATCATTTCCTTGATGATAGTTTCTGTCTAAATAATATACTAATAGGTTTTGAATGAAGCTAAATATTTTGTTAAACTTCTGTATTTGTCTTTCCTTTTTTTGCTTATTATATGAAGGGCAAACAAGTCATTCAATTCATTTAACGAATTTTTTGGATGAAATTTGTCATTAAAAATAAGTTGTTCTATTTATTGGAATGTTGAGGGTAAGGATGCACCGAAAAAAAAAAAAAGATGGGATATAAGCGCGATAGTTAATCAAAGTTTGAGATCTTCATTGTAATTAAAATATGATACAATAAACAAAAAATGTGGTCACATAAGATAAAATAGATAATGTTTACATAAGTTCAATTCTAATACAAAGTGTCTAGACATTGTCAAGATGGTTATGCAAATGTAGAGACTTTTCTAAATAGAATGAGTCACCATAATTTAGTTCATGTTTGGTAACAATTATTTCAAAACTCTTTTTTCTACATATTCACTTTAAATCATACATTTCTACAATAAAATAATTTGCACGTAAACCTAAAATATTTCCATACTTTTTAACTGCATATTCTCCAAAAATTCAATATTCAAAACTCTTATTTGGCCAAATAATAACCATGGGTATTAGGTGCTTCCTGAGGGAATTCTTACCTGCGCAGATGTCAAATTTATATTTCCATTGCGTTCGCTTTATCATCCATCGACTAATTTTTCCACTCTTTTGTAAAATGTTTGCAAGCTTGATAAGATCAATGTTATCCTCATTAGTTTCTTTCTTGAAAAGAATTTGGCTACCAAGACCCTTTTTTCCCAATCTTACTAGAACATTGACAATATAAAATTTCAGTAGTTATTATGTCAATTTATATACACACTTATTGAACTTTCAAAATAATTTACCTTCCTATTGATGTTCGATAGACTAGCAATACTTTCATAATACCATAGTCTGTGCATTGCATTGGCATACCGCATGACTAGTTTTTATGAGAAAATATTTGGCCTATAGTATCCTCATTTGTCAAGCATAACATAATTAGTGTTCTCATAAATATATAAAATAAACCATTTTCTTCCGTTCATTGCCACAACTAATTTTATTAAATTACCAACATCATAAAAGAAAAAAGAAGTCAATTTTATTAAATTAGTTGAAGAGGATGACATTTTTCTAATTTTATTTTATTTTTTTATTTTATTTTATTTTTTAATGAGTTCTTTGCCGTGAAAATTTTCACAACATTCTTGGTTGGAAAAGACACGGAGCTTGGATAGAGGAAGAAGCAACATACATTTGTCTCATACACTATAGGGATGGTGAGAAGAGATATATTTTACATCCTAGAGGGACTATAATTGGAGTAATTGATCGAATACTACTTGCAAACAGCTCTTCTGCTCAGAAACGAAATGTTCCAAAGCCAGTTCAAGCTGATTTGTCAGATTCTGATATTATTGATTGATTTGGGCGTAAATCGAATTAGAATGAAATAGATTCATTCATTTGCACAACAACCAGAAATTGACCTCCTATGGCGAAGAGCCGACATCGAGGTGCCAAACCTTCCCGTTGATGTGAGCTCTTGGGGGTAATGATAAACGGCTCGTCTCGCCGTGACCTCTTGAATTCTCAAAACTTCTGTCTCTCCATCCCCCAGATCCCACAAATGAATCGAAAGTTAGATCTCACCCGAATCGCTCAGATTCCAAATGAACAAATTCAAACTTGAAAATGCTCTTTCTGAAGGAAATCCAAAAGGAACTAGAATTTTTGGTGCAATCCCCCAAGAATTGAGACAATTAAATTTTACTAAAATAGTTTCATTAATACTAATCGATAGGGCCTCATTGGTAAGTGCTACAAGATCTCGTATATTGGAACGAACCACAGTGTCAGGGGTTCAAATCCCTCCTCGCCCACAACCAACCCAAAACAAAAGGGAAGTACCTTTCCCAAGCATACGTTTCATGCTTGTTTGAGTAATAGCAATGATATTGAGAACTAGCTATGGGACAATAGGTTTTTTTAGAGCATATGCTAACCAATACAGTAGAAAAGTAAGACAGTAAGAATGCCTTTGTTCACTTGTGAAAATACGGTGCAGTGTGCTTCTTCATTGACAAAATATTGGATCACAACAAATGTTCATTCGACATGTTAAAACTACACAAGTGTTCATTAGCAGCTAAGATTTTACTGCACCAATCCACAATTCCAAGTATTACCAGACATCAAACATTCCAACACATCAAAATGCTATACAAATGAAAGGTAGAGTGGCAATGGGTCAATTACATTCCTATCACCTAAGAAAGCAAACTTATTGCACTGAACTCAGAACAGAAAGTATCTCAACTAGTAAGGAGTTTTAATTACATGAAGGGATCTCAAAGGTTTGCACATTTACTCATCGATTGTAACCTTGGGGATGAAAGCCACAATTGTAGATAAAAAATCTGTTCTCCGATCAGCAAGCGAATAATAAGCCAGAATTTGGCCTTCAATCTCAATGGTTGCATCCTCTCCTTTTTCATTAGGAATGGCGAAGTCTTGTGCTGTTGAAATGAACTTAGTAATCCATTTTAGACGCTTCTTATGTACGTTATTCCAATCAGCTCCAGATTTAAGTCCCGTTTGAACCGCATTAATATAAAAATGAGAATAAAAAATATAGTCATTACAAGCCTCACACAATAGATAAATTTTCAAATATGGTGACTTGATGTGATGGATAACAATCATATTTTTTATTTTAATGAGTAAATAATATGAAATAAACAAGGACTTAATGTATCCCTGAACGCACAAATACCTCAAAGAAGGTAGTCGTAGTATATCATCTCCTAATGCACCTTCACTGAAGGAGCATCTCTTCAATTCTAACTTTTGGAGGCTAGGTAAGCCTTCGAAAAATTCCTTACTCGCATTATCAGATTCCACAAAACTCAAAAGCATCCCACTTTTTGACTATACTTTCCAATATAACTGAAACACACATATGTTAGGACACCATGCTGAAGATGCAAAGCAAGGCCAGTAAGTTTATCATAACCCATCAACAATGATCGAACTCCATTATCAAGCGGAAATTTTGCTATTGTCTCTTTATTTTCAAGTAATGTCAAACGGAATCTATAAAGCTTTTTCAAGTGCGTGCCTACACTTTCTAGGGATGCATTTGTGAGGTCGGATGCAGTAAAAACTAAGAATTCCAATTCAAGGAATCCCTGTGACAAAAGAATTAATCCCGTGTGTAATCATTGTAGTCATGGCTTCTAAGTTGTAATTCTCATCCCCGCATAACCATAGACTTTTCAATTTCTTAAAATTCTGAGCAACAACTCCCAATCCTCTATATCCAATCATGTCCCTTCCCTGTTCAAAAAGACAATCATGTTTAATTACTTAACCTAAGAATTTTATTAATGAACACGAAATATATCACATTCTGCATGGTTGATATTCTTAGACAAGATTTCTAACACTAGACTGATTCTCCACATACATCATAAGGTCGTAATATCTAATGTTCTCAACAGTAAAAAAATTTTATCCATGAAGCACGAACTTCTACTTAGGTGGCTTGTCTGTCTAAGATGCCGACACTTCTCGAAAATTCAAGGATAGTTACAGACACTCCATGTGATATATTGTTTTTTATATATTTTTTTAAATTTTGAAAAAGCTTGAGAAACACTCAACGAACACACCTTGGGCACGTGTGCGATATGACGTCCTTTATTATTCACATTCTTTACAATTTTTGCATGCAAGAAACATGTCGACAAATCATCAAGGATACGTAAAGCTCCATTTTGTAAATTTGAGACTAAAAAAGGATAATGTAGAGTTCATCTTGAACCTCGAATAATCTTAATACAACAAATAGACATTTTTTTTAATTCAAATTACTGAATTAGATTTCACTTTTATATAAGTTTATTGATGTTCCCCCACATATCATGTTCTACCTCTTTAAAAGATCACGTATCAGTGCGTGACTGTCGCACCATATACTTTTTGCATATTTTTATCCATGCTTCTTACTTCTTTATCCATCAACAAATAGACATTTTTTTTAATTCAAATTACTGAATTAGATTTCACTTTTATATAAGTTTATTGATGTTCCCCGACGTCTCATGTTCTACCTCTTTAAAAGATCACGTATCAGTGTGTGACTCTCACACCATATACTTTTTGCATATTTGTATCCATGCTTCTTACTTCTTTATCCATCAAAAAAGAAGACGTGTGTGGCCTACAAAATTACTTATGGCCAATTCTGCCGAAGAAGATATTACATTCAACAATCTAAGGAAAACCAACAAACACTAAATTTCAGGAGAGAATTGGGACATAGAACCCTCCATCCACATGAAGGAAATGCATATGCATGATTACACAAAATAGGAGAGACACAATTTATAAGTTTTACCTTGAGCATTTCCAAGTTGGGACACCTTTCCAATAATTGACAATGACCTTCCATATCAAGCAGAACTGAGTGCAGATCCAATTTTTTAAGTCGAGCAGCAAAATGAAAGACAATCGGTAATTCTTGATTCTCCAAGAGCATAATACCCAAGGAGCACGATTTTTGGGGAAATGCTACCACCGAGCGCATTTTGATCACCTACACCATCTTCTTGTGGTATGTCAAAAAAGCCCCCCCAAAACTCTTCTAATGCAGCCGCATTGCAGAAGAAACCAACGAGGTCAGCAATATCAGTATCCGTACAAATTTTCACCTTGACAAGAGATGCACAGTTTTTGGCTATCAGTTCAAGGTCTCCAGATTCGACTCCAAGGTTGCTCAACAAGTTAAAATTTTCTAGAACTTTATTGTTCAGAGCAAGCTCATGTAGCCATTTCCCATCATACTCACTTATTTCGCTCCCTTCCATATCCAAGGTCCTCAAACTCCTACAAAGAAGTAAAAAAAAAAATTTGAAAAAATGGAACCAATGACATCAACATATCATTCAAATTACATTTTCAAAAGGGGATATATATATATTTAAGGGAAATTCACTTCATACATATGGTTTTGAGGAAAGATAAAAGACATAATCTAATCCATCTATATGTGCTTCATTATCACTATACTCAGGCCAATAACCCCTATTTCCAAAACCAATATATATTCATAGACATGTATTTGGCCACCTGTCCGAGTTATTTATTCACTTGGTTATAATTCTATGATAATTTATTGAAGAAATACATCTTATTTAGAGATTATGGTCGAACTTTCAGAAGCACGGCTCATATAATGAAAAGTTTGGTTAAAGAAGAGAAGGGGAAAAATAATATTGTTTAAATCATATTGCAGCATAAAATAATATCAGATAAAGCAACAGATTAGCAAGTCATTTATAACAAGAAAAGAGAGAGAATAAATAATACGAAGAGAAATTTGTTGAGTCTGATTTTAGTTCAGCAGAAGTACAGGAAACATGCATTATCCAAGTATTTTCTATTGATATGGACAAAGTACATTAACTTTAGCAGATAAAGATAGAACAGAAAGGGATTAATCATTTTCGATAATGCATCATCATCAAAAACTTGTTTTCACAACTAAGCAAAACAGACCCTCATTCCAATAAGGCTAAAGTCATTTTCTTATTTCCACAGGTCTGCATCATTCCAAGTTGGATGCTTTCTTTCTTTTTTTTTCTACATCTAGTAACCCCAATTCCTCTGCAATCCCCTGCTGTACCTTCCATTGGCCTTCTTGGGATTAAAAACACCAAGATATCTAAAATACTATAAATGTGTCATTTTCGACACACTAATTCATTGATCAATGCAATGATTCATCATACATATGAGTACTATCTTTTATCTTTATCTAAGACAATCCTGCTTCCTCGGAAATTTCAATTCAAGATTTTGCTAATCTTGAAATGCCAAGAAAGAACATAGATATGATAGAAAAATAAATAAAATTAGAGAATTGCAGCCTTGTCTAACTACAAAGTAGAAGTAACTTTACTTTTTTATAAGGCTTCGAAACGTGTTAGACATGATTCTAGATGAACTAAACTATCTGAGTGACTTCCTTAACATAGATCTGTTACTTGAGTACACACGTCTATACATACATATATACGGTGCATCAAGAGTTAGTGATACCTAAAGTTTTAAAGAAAATTAGTGAAAAATAGGAAAGGAAACCAGGACATAACAAAATTAATACCGGAGAGAGCGACAGTATCAAGTTTCAACACTTCAAGACCCTTTCCAATTGCTGTAGCAGCAATCAATTTAAGGTCCGAGTCCTTAACTCTCATTCTACGAAGATGCAGCGCCTTCATTTTTTTGAAAGATTTGACAATTTCCTCAATCCAGGGCTTAGCATAGCCGCCCCAGTCATCAGGAATATGGAAGAACTTAGCAAAGTGTGGTTGTCCCCTGAGCTTGAGCGACTCGAGGTTAGGGAACCGCCGCAAGAGGAGGTCCGGAGTGGCGGCATAACACAGTGAAATAGCGACATGCTTTCGCGTGAGGGAATCAATGTTGTGCCACTGTTTGCACACCAGAGAAACCGAAGCCCGATCATGCGGTTCCTTTACGTACGGAATCACGCAGTCCCATACAGCGTAATCTGGTCTTGCGGCTACTTCACCGCTTCCACTTGCCTCGCTCATTTTGGCACTTGAAGATTACAGTAAGAACCAGAGTGGAGAACCCTCTCACGAGACCGAAAACAGAAAATAGAGTGAAGAGTTAAAACAATAGAACCATCTAGAATTTCATCCCATGGCCATGAGAGTGCCAAGTGTCGCCATCAAATTAAACCCCACTACTAAAAGAGTTGCATCAAGTAATGCGACTTTAACCACATTTTGGCAGCATCCAGGGTTCGATTCCTCAACATTATCTAAACATGATCAAACTCATCTTTTTAATTTCAGAAGCAACTTTTAATATTTTAAAAGTCTTGTCAAATGATCGCTATGTGCTGGAAATAGAGTTGAATTAGATTAGGATGTTAAAGAAGGATTTGATCTACAATATATTTATTTAAATTAGTTTTAATAATAAGATAAAGTTTTTAGTTTATTAGAAGAATATTTGAACGACATAAAGAGGGCTTATTAATTGTAATAGGTACCACTGAATATATAATATATGTTATATTTATTCTTGATGGACCAGTATTTCATTGGTCATTTTTGAGCCCATAATGGGTTGGGCTTTTTATTAAAACATTTGGAGGCCCTACTTTCAACCCAATTGATATAGTATTGGCCCATTGAATACTATATATATATATATAAGTTGCTCCCTTTTCTCCTCATGATCTAGACCATAGAAAAGAGGACGGTTCTAGGGCTTGGGTTAGAAAATAATTTTCCATTGTATGCTTCTTGATCTTTTGTAGCCAAAGGAATAGCATGGAAAGTCACTCTCAAGCCATTGGAGATATGTTTTTTTTTTTTCTATTATTATTGTGGGTTCATGCTATGACAATGAGAATGGATTATTAAATCAATTGATGTTTTTAACAAATAGTATCAGAGCAAACCTTCTCATTTTCACAGCTGACATTCTACATTACAAAATACCTCTGTTGGTAATTATTTTGGAGGTTTCGTTGATAATTTTCCTTTAATTGGAATTTGTTGATTATATAATCATGACAAAATGAAGATTTGAAACGGGACAATGGCTTTTTTAAATTATAATGCTTTGTTTTCTGGAAGAGGTTAAAGTTCAACAACCACGAAACGCTTGGAAACTCCTTCGGCGGACAAGTAAATAAAAGATGGACAAAGACTGCCCCCTAGTGATCCAAAGTAATAGCATTTAATAAGAAAAACTAAACATGAGCCAATAATGTGGAAATTGTGGTAACACCCAATTAGGTTTTGAGTGCACTTGATGCTAGACAAATTTGGGAGTTTTTTTTTTTTTTTTAATAATAGATCTATTATTATTATAATTGACAAATGTTTTTTTTAAGGTGTCCATGGATGAATTATGTGATATTGTTCCATATTTGTTTTGGAGAAAAGAAATGGATAATTTTATTTGTTTATTTTTCTTTCCTTTTTGGAGTAGAATAAATATTTTGTCCATGTGGATTATATAATTTTGTTGTATGCCAATGGTTTGGAGTGGTTATGTACTCACCTCTCGTGGGACTAGTTATGATAAATTATCGGGATTGTTATATTGTTTATGCTTCCGCTAAATCACATTTTACTAAGATCCATGCGGATAGTGAATTTGCCCTCTCGGTAAATCATTATTTGGTAAGATGTTTACGACGACAAAGATAATAGTTAAGTGCTTGGCACTTGGTGGTCAAATTTTATCCTCTCGATAGTGGGTCATCTTAAGTCCTTGTATTTAATTATTTTGTTTTGTCATGTGTGAGAGCCTTGAGTGTGTCTTGGGCTCTAGCATAGTGCGTAAGAGTTATTTTGAATAAAACTCTAGCATGAACATAAAGTTGCATATTGGATACATTTATGGGGTGCATGTTTCTGTCATTCTATATGTTTAATAAATTATTTATTGTATTCTCCTCAACTTATGGCAATGGAGCTATGTCTCTCTCTTTATCTGCCATCAAAAGTATAACTGGAACAAATTATGAGGATTGGCGTGAGTCTCTCACTATTAATTAGGCCATTATGAATTTGGATTTAGCTTTGAGGGTTGATGTGCCTACCAAACCCACTAGTGAAAGTACTATAGCTGAAAAGACTCATTATGAGCAATGGGTGCATTCTAATAGGACTTGCCTTATGATCATGAAGTACACCATTGACAAGTCTATCAGGCAGAGCATATCTGATACAAATAATGCCAAAGAGTATCTTGAGGCTGTTGGGAAGAAATTTACTAAATTTGACAAGGTAGAAAAGGGAACTTTGATGAAACTTCTTACTACCACAACCTACGATGGGGTCAATGGAGTTAGAGAGCACCTTATGAAGCTTACTCATTTCTTTAACAAGCTGAAAGGGATGAAAGTTGAGTTAGCAAACAGTTTTCTTGTATGGCAAGTACTTGAATCCTTGCCATCTCAGTTTGATGCACTCAAGACTACTTATAATGCTCCGAAAGAAGAATGGAACTCGAGTGAGATGACTGCTATTGTAACTCAAGAAGAAGAGATGATGAAAAAGGCAAAGTCTCATGCTGCTTTTATGGTGACTACTGATAAAGGGAAGAAGAGATTTTTCAAAGGTAATAGTAGCAACTTTAATAGCAACTTCAGTAAGATGAAGAAATCTGGGAGACCTCCTCAACAAGCTACCATAAGTGTTCCAAGTGGGGGCTAAGAATGAAGGTTTCAAGGGCAAGTGTAACTTCTATCATATTTTTGGGCACAAGAAGGTTGATTGTAGGAAGTTTAAGGCATGGTTAGATAAGAAAGGTACACATTCGATACTAGTGTGTTTTGAATCTAATCTAGTCGATGTGTCTTCTGATACTTGGTGGCTAGATACAGGTGCAACCATTCACACTACAAATTATTTGCAGGAATTAAGGAACCTCAGAAGGCCAATTGACACAGAGTCAGTAGTAAACATGGGCGATGGGGTGAAGGTTAAAGTTGAACATATTGGAACAGTCAAACTTATTTTAGCTTCTAAGCATGGTTTGAACTTGTCTAATACTGCTTTTATACCTTCTATTAGAAGAAATCTTGTCTCTGTTTCTATTTTGGATAAATATGGATATGTTTTTCATTTTGGAAATGGAAAGGCTACAATCTATTATAATTCTGTTGTGGTTGGTACTGCTATATTATATGATGGTTTGTATAGAATTAACTTGTTTCCTACTTTAGATTCTATTTCTTCTAGTATATCTGTTGTGAATGCAGTAATTGGTTCTAAGCGTACCAGATCCATTGAAAACTCTTCCATGTTGTGGCATAAAAGGCTAGGTCATATTTCTAAAGAAGGAATAGAAAGGTTGATTAAAGATGGTATACTAGTTGACTTGGATTTTTCTGATTTTGAAACTTGTGTTGCTTGTATCAAAGGGAAGCTTCCAGCGAAAACCAGAAAACAAAAGATTAGTAGAAGGGTGGAAATAGTGGATTTAATTCATACTGATATTTGTGGTCCCATTTCACCTGCTGCTTTGGGAAATTATAGATACTTCATTACCTTTATTAATAATTATTCTCGTTATGGTTACATTGAACTTATACGAGAAAAGTCAGACTCATTGGAAGCTTTTAAGGCTTTCAAGGCTATCGTGGAACTCCAGAAAAACAAGAAAATCAAGGCAGTAAGATCTGATAGAGGAGGTGAGTTTTATGGAAGATATGATGAAACTGGTAGAAATTCAGGACCTTTTGCTAGTTTTCTCGAGGCATGTGGTATTGAGGCTCAGTACACAATGCCCGAAATTCATCAACAGAATGGTATTGCAGAAAGAAGAAATCGTACTCTTATAGATATGGTACGGTGTATGCTTAGTCATTCCACTTTGCCTGATTTTCTATGGGGCGAGGCCTTAAAAACTGCTGCCCACATTCTGAATCAAGTACCAAGCAAGTCAGTTCCTAAAATCCCTTATGAGTTATGGTCAGGTAAAAGGCCTAGTTTGCATCATTTCCGTGTTTGGGGCTGTAAAGCAGAAATAAAGTCTTATAATCCTCAGCAGAAGAAACTTGATCCTAAGACCATCACTGGATATTTTGTTGGCTATTGTGTGGGATCAAGAGGCTTTAGATTATATTGCCCTTCTAATGTTACTAGAATTGTTGAATCTGATCGAGCCATTTTCTATGAGGATGTTTGTGACAGTGGGAGCTCCGCGCCATGTGAAGTTATGTTTAGGGAGGAACATGTTGTTATACCTATTCAGGTCACTCTTCCACCAGTAGTTGAAACACCATTGATGGAGGGAACCAATGCTGCTATCCTAGACCCTGTTGTTCACACTGGGGTTGATGTTGATATGGGGACCGACAATATTATTTTGAGGAGATCACAGAGAATTTGTAGACCAACAATTTCTGATGATTATGTTGTCTATTTGCAGGAGCATGAGTTTGATGTTCGTACATCTCTTGATCCAACCTCTTTTAAGGAGACCATTGATAGTCCTAAATCTTCATTTTGGATGGCGCTATGCATGAGGAGATGGCATCAATGTGTCAAATGGAGTATGGGACTTAGTTGAACTACCTTGTGGCTATAGGCCAATTGGCTATAAATGGAATTTCAAGATCAAGTATAATTCTGAAGGTCAGGTAGAAAGGTATAAAGCTAGGCTTGTTGCTAAGGGCTTTAATTAAAGAGAAGACATTGATTATAAGGATACTCTTTCGCCTATTTCTACCAATGATTCTTTTTGGATTATTATGGCATTGGTGGCACATTTCGATCTCGTGTTGCTTCAAATGGATGTTAAGACAACTTTTCTTAATGGGCATTTAATTGAGGATGTGTACATGGTGCAACTAGATGGATTCCAGGTAGATGGAAAGGAACACATGGTGTGTAAGCTTAAGAAGTCTATTTATGGGCTTAAGCAGGCGTCGAGACAATGGTACCTAAAATTTGATGAGATTGTCACCCCTTTCGGTTTCAAGGAGAATGTTGTTGATCAATGCATATACTTAAGAGTTGCTGGGAGTAAGTATATTTTTCTTGTTCTTTGTGTTGATGATATATTACTCGCTACAAATGATATTGAGCTTTTGCTTGAGACAAAGCGGATGTTGTCATCTCATTTTGATATGA